ATCCAAGGCCAATAATAGTGGCAATTTGTTGAGATCCCATGACAGACTGCATTTCATCAGAATTACAGGATTTGCCAGTTTGTGAAAGAAAGGATTCCTTCGCTGAATATTGCTTCAACCATTTTTCTTTAATACCCGAATCGATAATTCTCTGAATAATCCGATCGAAACTTCTGGCATATGGAGAACCTGCAGAAAGTGCCATAGCTCCATGATCAATAGGAAATTTATCGTTAAAAAGTTTAACGACTGGTTGTCCACATTCATCTGTTCTAGTACGAACCATGACTTCAGCTCTTCGTAGTTCCATAACGCAGGTTGTATTTTTAAAATCCAACAATAATTTTAAACATTCTTCTTCTATACCTGACATCATGACTGATTTGTTCAACATTTGTTGTAAGACAACATCGTCAGTAACTTTAATCATGTGATAATAATTTACGTGTATCTGTACCTCGATATCCGAATTGACAACGTCTTCAAGAGTTTCGTATTTATAGGAAATTGTCGCCTCCAATTGTACTTGATTTATTGCCGTGAAAATATCCGAGGAGAACATAAAGCATCCTAGGAGAAAGGCTATGAGAATTATTCTCTCCGCTGTTTCTTCAGGATCGTCGGGAATCGAAGCTCCGAGAATCAATTGAAACATGTACTCAATTCTCCATCTTTTGGAATTGAAACTCAAAATTTTTGCAACTGTCCAAAAGAAGATGGGAAAAGCAAGGACGGTTAGAATACTCTTTATTTGCCATTTGTAGACTTCAGGTGGGTGGTCATTCTTTAAAATTGGCACAACTATTCCAATTCGCATTGGCGTTAAACTCTTGCTGAGAGTTGGATTAAGACCGCTGCAAACTGCTATTGTTATTTCGACGCCGAATGTATCAATTTCGTTGTTGAAGATAGCTACAGTGATTCCGGAACCACTTCCCTTCTGACATGTATATGGACCCCAATCGGTAAGCGATGATTTAACGAGTGTAAAATTCATCTTTTCTGCTAAAGTCTTCAGTTTTGTTACGGCAAATCCATAAACCTCTTCAAGTGGATTTTCCGGTACGAATACGTCAGGTGGTGTGGAAAGTAATGACGCAATAAATGGATAGCCATGCATATTTTTCAGTTTGTCCGGATACCAAACAGTTTTCAAAGACGGAATTTCTTTAGTGATTATTCTCGAGAAAGGATTGTACTGAAGGACCGTAAAGTTAGAATTCAGATTTCCCGCCTGAAATGATCCTGATGTTTTCCGACTGATTTCAATGACAGCCACATCCAAGAATTGATTGATCCACAGATTTTCGAAAAATTGTCGATAATTTTCAATCTTGTAGAACACGAGCAGCAAGCATTTTGGTTTGCGATTCAATTGTGAGAGTTCATTTAAGAAATTTATCGATCCATTGAATTCGGGATCATTCTCCGAATTTTCGAGCACAAAGAGCGAGAGTCGAGGATTGTAGATTGTGAAATCTGATTTTTTCGGTTTATCACTTTGTGGTGTGAGAATTTCTTGAAGGAATGTAGTGTTTGATAATTCTTTCATCAGATTGTTGGAAATTAAGTTTCCGCTCGCATTTTTTCCGTTGATGAAAAATATTACCTGGTAAATGTTCCGATCATCTTGAATGCTTTTTGATAATGTCGAAATCCAATTTATCTTGTATTCTGCTTTCAATTTTTGATTGAAAATTATTAAGACAATGGAAATAATTTTTGTTATTAACATTTTTGCTTTAAGAAAACGAAAGAGAAGAATTAGAATTCCGAAATTAATTTAATTTTTAATGAAAATTTTAGAATTGCAATGAAAAATAGTTTAAAAAATTTTTTCTGCTCTTCTATGACCATAAGGACTAAACTGAATTTAGTGGAAAGAACAGTTGGAATGAGTTATAAGTTCGGAAAATTCATTTTATATTTTATTCTGACTGATATAAAATTTTTATTTATTATTTAGATATTGAATTTAAGTTAAAACTGCTGTGGGAATGAATTGAAAATGCAGGAAATTTATTTTGTATTTTTATTGATTTCACTGTTATAAATTTATTATTTATAAGTAAATAGGAATTTGGAAAATGATGATGAATAAAATGAAAATTTTCAATTTATAAATTGATATAGAGGTTCAAGTTCAGAGAAATAAAATAATCGATAAAGTGGACACGTGTAAAAGAAATTTAGTTAAATTTTTTAATGTATATATTTAATTATTAACATAGCAGTTTAATAGTTATCCCACGCGCTCACCAGATGGCGATCTTTATTTCTCAGAAAAGAACAAACAATTAACCTCCAAATTTTGTCCATTCCTCTCATCTCGAACTACTGTTCTAAATTCGAAATTATTTTTATTTACTCATCTCCAGTAATTTAATCAATTAAAATAAAATTTTATTCTCCATCGGGAAAAGTAAATTATTTCCAAATCTTTGGGATTTATTTGAAGCTTCCTACGGAATCATAATGTCGATAGTGCTCTTGACTTGGTTAGATGTAGTCGGGTTTGGTTTGAGTTTTGTGATAGGGAAAAGAGGGTGGCGCGACGAGCGGAAAGAGAAAGAAGATGCACCAAGTTTATTCAGAGCGCGAACGAGAACCCACCACCGACGACGACGACGACGTTCACCAAGCCCAGATATTAATTTTCTCGATGTATATGGATGAGTTTCGACTGGGCCATCGAGCTGCTGAGAAAATAGGAAAAGGGTGACAGAAACGAGAGTTGGGAATGATGACTTTGGTGTGAGGTAAAAGGGGACCCCGCACGTGGATACGAAACTGTGGAAAGGTAGAAAGCCCACTCTCTCTCTCAAATCGATGGAATGGGAGAGAGAGAGAGAGAGAGAGAGAGAGAGAGAGAGAGAGAGAGAGAGAGAGAGAGAGAGAGAGAGAGAGAGACAGAGAGAGAGAGAGAGACAGAGAATGACAAACAGAGTGAGTACCTTGCAGATATGCGGAATTATTAGGGGTGTCTAAATTGCTATTCATCCTAAATATCCTTCACGTTATTGCCTTCTCGTCCTTCCTAAATTCAATAAAAATTCTGACACTATTTTCAAAAAGAAAATTACCAAGGGAATAAAAAATTGATATGTAAAAAATAATTCATCATTCTTGATAGAAATAATTTTCTACTAAAAAAAAGTTTTATTTATTATAATGACGTAACAAAAAAGATAACAAATTTTATATATATATAATTTGCAAATAACCAGTAAACTCACTGAACATTCAATTGCATTCTTTGAAAATTTTAATGAAGTTGGAACGTGTGGAATGCCCGGCTTTCCGTGTAATACGAACCAATTTAGTCTCTCTATAGATGAGTATCGTTGCTTTAGATACCCTCGAGTACCTTGCTTATTATGAATCAGCCATCCGCGTCCCACTAACTGAATCCTCCAGACTATTAATCCAGGTTTCGATATTAATTACAAAAAGAATTTAATTAAAACAGTTTTCCTATAATACGTTTACATAATAGAGTATATATAATATAATGGAAGGGAAAATTTGTAACCCATTTAATAATATTTAGTTCTTTTTTATTTCTATCAGTTATTGTTTTTTAATATTGTAAATTTTTCTTTGTGATTTTAATATTTAATCAACCCACGCTACCGCCACGTGGCGCTACTTATCTACCAAAAATTAAATAATTTTATTCTCGTTTAAATTTTTTTTTTCTTTTTTGACAAAAAATTACCATTTTTGTCGTTGGGGAATTTACTGCCGGCCATCATGGAGCAAAAGGGACAAGGTTATGCACGACACTCAAAGTTTAGTTCCGGCTTTTAAAAGCAGGGTGGGGTATTGGGTGGAGGCATCCAACCCTCGTTATGGGTTATTTCCATGGGCTTTTGTGTCACGTCGAACCCATAGCCATCCTTTGAATTGAAACACTATGAGATGGATCGTTCGAACACCAATCGCATAGATAAGTGAGCTTTTCTAGTTTGCGATTTTTATATTCCATGACAAAAAAAAATGGACAAAAATCTAGGATGGAAAATAAATGCGAAATATATAGCAAATTGTTATCACAATTCTATTTCATAAAAATTTATGTAAATATATTTGACTTTTACAATTCTTTTCTCTCGGTAAATTCAAAACAAGTACAAGGATATTGATTACAGAGTAATAAAATTTTTGACTTTGATCACTTTGAGAGGATTTAAATTAAAGAAGTAGTTGTTTTTATTTTTCTGTTTTTTTTTAATAGAAACGTCGACCTAGAGTTTAAAGTACCCTTTGTAGGCTTGGGCGCATTTACATATTTAACTAACCTAACGGTGATGGCACTACCGCACTGGCATTAGCGCTTGCACGGATATTCTGGAATATATTAATCCAGCGGAGACGCATACCAGCATTTTGAATTAATGCTTGTATCTGTACGCTTACGGACACAGAAGTGTTGGCTAAGGGACTACGTTGATTCGAACGAGGCTCTGTACATGTGTGGGTGTGTGTGTGTGTATATATATATATTGTTCCATCGTTAATGCTCGGGCAGGGTTGAAGCTTTCCGTCCTGCATCAGAAATTGCTGGTAATATATACATTCACATGTGCAGGTACGTAAACGGCCTCACTCATCTGGTTTGTAAATGGCCCAAAACGAACAACGTACCACAGACCTTGGTTATTCCAATTCATTATTATTATCAGACTGTTTCTTAATTACTGCCCAAAAATTGAATTTATCTAGTGGATTTTGGAATTATTTTTGGATTTAGTTCACTGACGCCACCGCAAGTGGCGCTACTGGTACCTTTGAGTAGTTCACTGACGCCACCGCAAGAGGCGCCACTGGTTTCGTCCAGTAGTTCACTGACGCCACCGCAAGTGGCGCCACTGGCATCGTCGAGTAGTTCACTGACGCCACCGCAAGTGGCGCCACTGATTTTATTTAATAATTGACTGACGCCACCACCAGGATGCTGTTACAGCATAACTAATCAAATAATTTTCTATTTGTTTCAGGAAACGGAAATTTAGAATTATTCGATAGTGAAAGTGGACCGGATTTAACACTGTCGCCGCAAACTTTCACATCAACGGCGGAGGCCTTCATCAATGACAATAGCGACAGTCTTGGCGTGCCAGGTGACAACGATACTGGTGAGTCGAAAAACTAAATTAAAATAAATCTCCCCAGACGTGACCGTTGGCAATTCTATTGCTTACTCACCATTTCTCTCTGGAATACAAGCTTGGCGCACAAGGCGCTTGAAAAGCAAACCCTACAAAACGCTATCCAACCTGCATTTCGCATTTTCTCTCTTTCTCTCTCCTGCCAAAGATGATATTACCAACAGGAATGCCAACTTCTTCTTCTTCTCTACAACACATACGCCAGCATTCGAATAGTTTTGGCAGTTTTTGGTTCCTCTTTGACCGAGAGGAAATTTATTACAAGTCAAACTACACGAGCACTTCCACCACGTCAAAAAGCGTTGACTGCCTGAGTCGATTTGGCGCCGACTAAGTTTAACTTAGATATAATAATTTCAACGAGGAACGAGTTCGCCACGAGCCATGAATTTCGGCTTCTGGCTATGAATAAATTTTAAGATGATTTGCATCTAGAAACGCAATCCTATTTTCTACAAAGTGTTGAATTTTGTCGATGTAAACCAAGAGATATTTTTTTTCTTTTGTTGGGGGGGGGTCAGAAGAGGAGAGTATTATTTATTAGCTGTATATATGAGAATTTACTGCTGGAGCTAGTAAAATTGACGTAACTAGTTCATACAAACATGTTTGCTCGAAAGATGAAATCATTTTAGTGACGTGAGATTTTACGATCATAAGGAATTGTTTTTAACCAGGCTACGCTGTTTTCATGTTCAGTTTGACTAATTTTTAAATTGATATAGTTTAGTGACGCCTCCGCTACGTGGCGCTGTTAGCCACTGGTAATAAAAATACTTCTTTAATTTCCCTTCTCTGGAAAAATTGACAAAATATTAACGACTTTTGATCTGAATTAAGACCCCTTATCTTTTTTTCCCAGCTCGGATGGATCTTAATACACATTTTCCAAGGGCTTTTCTCATCTTTACGTCGCGTGACCCTTTGGAAGCATTGGTTACGCGAATAGCCTTCGTAAGTTTTTATGGGGAAATATCAGCAGCCACTGCTGCTGAAATCTATTCCCCCGACTCCAAAGTTTCACATCTGTAGCTTCGCTTACTCCCAAGTACCGCGCCATTTTACCGCGTACTGGTAGCCCTACGTCCCATAACTCGAATATTTACGGTACGGCCGATTCACCACTGGCAAACCTCATCCCAGTTTCAAACCTCGTGCAAATAACGATTCGACGCCCCCCCCACACACCCGTTATACTTTGTGAAAATTCAGAATATACCCTCCCTCAATGTGCATGTGTATAGTCGCAGATATATTACACAGCTCGGGCAATGACGAACCAAATTGCCGTCCAGCATGGGTTTCGCCTTCGCTATTTCTTCGCGTGAAAATTACTCTCACAATATTTTGCGAATGGTGAAAATCGACAGTTTCACGAGTCACCTTGAGTTGCTGCTCGTAATATGACCGTGTGTGTCAAACTTGTAGGAATTTTAGGAGGGATTGTAACAATAAAGGAAAAACAAACGTACCTATTGAACAATAGTGCTAGTCGAATAGTTACGGGACAAATTAAATTTTATTTCACATCAATTTCAAAACGAGTTTGCTATTTTTAAAATTATAAACAATCCAAGAAAGAAATACTAATATTTTTTATTTAATTTTATTGATATATTTATCGTTTTCTATTTAAAGTTCAAAATTATACATTTCGAGAAAGCCCTCTGACGGTAGCGTCATCGTACTAATCAATTTTAATTATTTGTGATAATATTCAAAGCGCCATCTGTTGAAAGCGTCATGGTATTACTAGAGGTTTAAAGCGCCATCTGTCGTAAGCGTCTTGGTATTACTAAAGATTTAAAGCGCCATCTGTCGAAAGCGTCATTGTACTACTAGAGAATGGAATAAAAAAAGAACAAAGATATCCCGTGTTGATGTTAAAAGGAATTATCTAATGAAATGTTATACTAAAAAAAATGAATATAAAGAAAGAAATGAATGTGAGTATTTTTAGAGAATATCCACATTTATGAGACTGGCCATTTGTCGTTCTTTGAGTAATTCATATATGCACCAGCGGTGCTTCAATGCGCACATAAACGAACTGCTCTTTTTAACTTGTGCATGCGTTAACCATATCCCTAACAGCTCTCTTTCCTCAAAGTGTCAAATCTAGTTTCACCTCTCTGCTTACCATCTGAGTCTGATTAAATTTCGTGTGAAATATCCCTTGAGAATGATAGATCCCACAAAAGGAATACAATGTTTGACACGAAATGTGGAAGTAAGTTATTATATTCATAAACTTTCGTTCAAACTTATTCAAAGAAAATGGGTCAAGTACTTTTGACTTTGAATAATTATTTCCTGCAGCATATTCGTAAATATTTTTCAATTTCTTTCTCTTGCTTGGAAATTCGAGTAAAAAGAACATCCTTAGGGCGCCACCTGACGCTAGCGTCATCTTACTAAAATCGAAAAAGTTGCAAAACGTTCATTGCGTTGGAGAAAAAGTTTTTTCATCTTCATTCTTAATTCTCTTTTTCCGGAATTGAGCTTAAAAGTCAATCGAATTCTAAGACTCGATTTTTTTCCCCCAAACTCACTTGGCAACCGTTTCGTTCCGCCTGGAAAACGAGGAATCTTTTACCACTGTCTTTTCGGACACACAATGCTCTCGAACTTTAGTTTGCAGACAGAGAAGAGGTACTACTACTCTATTTCCCAAGAGAATCGTACATCTTTCTCGGTTACTCTATACATTAGAAAGTTACTTAGACCAACCTGGGAGACGGAAATTCTGGAATAAGATATTTTTCCTCCTCCCACTCCCTCTGTTTGATATAGTTTCTTCATTTTATATTCAACATTTTCTCAAATACGTTAATTTTTCATTTTTCAAACTCGAAAAAGGGGAAATAATATGAAAAATTGATAAGTAAAATAATAATTGATTGTCGTGTAATTAAGTATTTTAATTAAAGACATAAAGGAAGGAAATATGAAGGTTATATTTTCTTGTTCCACAATGTCAACCTTGAGCTGCTAAAGGGGATGGAATTAAGGAGTGTGAGAAGCTTGATATTACTTCCTTTCAGGAACGCGCAATTTGGTTTATGCGCCGCAAGATATCGTCGATATACTTGTCCCAACCCTTCTTTACCCCCTTTCCATTCCTGTGAATCTTGATGAAACCTACCCAACCCTTCACTTTTGTTTCGTTTTCCTTTAATTTTCACTATAATCCAACAACAAATTTCTAATCATCATTAACAAATTAAATTAATTCACAATACAGTAAATATAATTAAACATAATTTACGAAATTATAAACAATTTTGCAAAATTAAATTTACAAGAAAAATATTAAATTCCCTTGTTTTATTATTCTATATAATATTTGTATTCAATTTAAATTCCACATGATGTTGGAGATTTAAAGTTTGAAGTATATTTCATTTGTTTCCATGTGAGTGGGTATAATTTAATTCCCATTGTAGATATCTTTGTTACATGAAAATTCATATTCGCTCGCATCGACTAATTAATGTTTCATTAGGAAATATGCGGACAAAGAGCTTCTCTGAAGCCACAGAACTTTCCCAGTTATTACTTGTAGTTCGATTCTGTCGATGAATGATGGGAATGGATGGATTGAAGGTTGGGGGGTGGTGGTGGATGGGGAATGACGTAGCATCGACGTTAATCAACGTCAAAAAGGGCTCCTTTGAACGGTCCACTCGTAACATTTCGTTGAAAAGGAACTAAAACTCGACCCATTGCTAAAGTGAAATTGAAAGTGTCTTTCACAATGTAAGCAGTCAGCAACATTAAAGAACTATAAAAACGAGTAAATAGCTTGTTGGTGGAAGAAAAGGAGGGAAAATTGAAAGGGGAGAGAAATTTTTATTAGAAAATTAATATTTTTTTAATGAAAGAACTTTTTTTGTAATTGCTGAATGTGATGTGGAGTTGAGTTTGTCGCGCCATCTGTCGATAGCGTCACTGAACTAATTCCTAATGAAAAGTCAACTGATTAGATAATTTAAACCAGAATATTTTTCTAAATCTTAAAGGTAACCTCTTGTTATTTTCTAAATTTCTTTTGTTCATAAATAATAAAAGAAACCAAATTAATATTTTCCTAAAATTTAAATTTTTTAAAATAGTATTTGCTAAATAGTTCAGAGCGTCATCTGTCGAGAGCGTCATTGTACTACACAAGAAATGGTTACTTTTAAATCATCGACATTAGAATTTTTATAAGTGGAATAATTTCCGTGACAATTTTAGCATTAAGAGCGCCATCTGTCGATAGCGTCATTGAACCAATCAAAAAGAAACTCTATTTAATAATTTTCTCAACTGGAATAATTGCATTCGAATGATTACACACTCCTTATTTTTTTCCAATTAATCGAAAATGATTGTAGGGTAGAATAAACTTGTTTTTAGCAAAAAAGAAAAAAAATAAAAGAACCCTATCGCTAAATTTGACACTGTTAAGACCCTTTTTATTCCGTTTATGAATGCCGGGAGCAGTCTAAAGAGGTGGAAAGACTAAAGAGGAAGGGAGTGCTTTCTTATCCGTGGAACGATTGATACTTCAGAGTCGTTAAAGAAAAGCGGAGTAAATCCCAGCGGTTGACGGGGGACTTGGGGAGGTGGGAAGGGTGAAAAGCAAGTGGTATAGTAACAAGGGCGTGGGGTGGTAAAAGGAGAGGTTGGGAAGTGGCACGCAGTAAAGACGGGGAGCTTGCGACAAAGGCCAAGATGAGGTCGTCGTGCAGAATAAAGAAACGAAAAAGGAAGGAACACCAGCTCTTTGCTAAGCCTCTGCTCCTTTTCCTATTTCTATCCTTTTCCTTTGCCCTCGAGTAAATTTCTCTCTCTCTCTCTCTCTCTCTCTCTCTCTCTCCTACTCGTGAGAAGAAAAAACGGAAAAAGAGATTCTCTTATCATCTCACTCACACTGAACTCTCTCTCTCTCCCTCTCTCTCTCCTTGTTTAAAGGGAACAGA